TCTAACCACTGGAGAGTTAAAAATAAGTGTCACAAATAGAGATTGCCTCTTAAACACCCTAAAATTCTATTCTACAACTTGGTTTTATAATCCAAGCAAGAATGAAACTATGGCCTAGCTCAGCCGTGGGCAAACTACGGCCAGCAGGCCGGATCCGGCCCATTTGAAATGAATAAAACTAAAAAAAAAAGACCGTACCCTTTTATGTAATGATGTTTACTTTGAATTTATATTAGTTCACACAAACACTCCATCCATGCTTTTGTTCCGGCCCTCCGGTCCAGTTTAAGAACCCATTGTGGCCCTTGAGTCAAAAAGTTTGCCCGCCCCTGGCCTAGCTGGTATGGCTTAGTGGATAGAGCTGAGGACTGAAGGGTCCCGGGTTCCATTCCCATCAAGGGCACATGCCCAGGTTGGGGACTCAATCCCTAGTGGGGGTGGGGGGAGGACGTGCAAGAGGCAGCCCACCAATGGTTCTCTCTGATCAGTGATGTTTCTCTCTCTCCTCCCTTCATCTCTGAAATCAATAAAAATATACTTTTTTAAAAAGAATGAGCCCTTGCCGGTTTGGTTCGGTGGATAGAGCCTCGGCCTGTGGACCAAAGGGTCCTGGGTTTGATTCCAAAGGGCAGGTACCTTGGTTGCAGGCTCCACCCGACAGTGCCCTGGTCGGGGTGCATACAGGAGGCAACACATCGACGTTTGTCTTTCTTTCCCTCTCTCTTCCACTCTCCCTAAAAATCAACAGAAAAATATCCTCGGATGAAGATTAACAACAAAAAAGAATAAAACTCTGAAATACCTCCCAAATGTTGATGTGAAGCATAAATCTGTATGACCAAACTTTGAGAAGGTACAAAGCAAAAATGCTTAGTCGCTACAATGATAACATTAAAAAATAAAGGTCTGTGCAACCGCAAGATCTGTTAAGAATCATCCTCCATAAAATAAATGTTGAACCATTTTACTCAATGAAGGGCTCCGACAGGACAATCCGGATGCTAAAGCATCTTCAAAGAAAGCATCATCTTCCCCATCCAAAATCTCCTCCCTGCTCACAACACGGCCATTCAAGCAGAACCTTAGACCGCACTGGCTGCCCGGCTGCCCGGCTGCCCAGCTCCAGGGCG